TGAGTGTTTTTGTGTACATCCTTCCCGCCCCCCGAAAAAAAGAACAAAATTGATGACATTGAAGAAGAAGTTGTACTAAAGGCATGAACAAAAACAAGGCTCCAGGAATTAATGGAATACCAATGGAAATGTTTCAACAAACTGATGTAGTGCTGAAAGCACTTACTAGTCTATGCCAAGAAATTCAGGAGATAATCGCCTAGCCAACCAATTGGAAACAATCCAAATTCATGCCCATTCCAAAGAAAGGTGATCCAATGAAATGCAGAAATCATCTAACAATATCACTAATATGAAATGCAAGTAAAATATTGCTGAAAATAATGAGTAAATGATTGTAGTCTTTCAACAGGGAATTGTCAGAATTTCAAACCAATTTCAGAAGAGGATACGGAACAGGGATATCATTGCTGCTTTCAAATGAATCTTGGCTGAAAGCAAAGTACACCAGAAAGATGTTTACTTGGGCTTTAGTGACTATGCAAAGGCATTTGACTGTATGACCATATAAACTCTGGATGACATTGTGAATGATGAACATTCCAGAATACTTAATTGTACTCACAGGGAACCTATACATACACCAAGAGGCAGCCATTAGAACAGAACAAGGGAATACTTGTTAAGTGTCACTGAGTTGATTCCAACTCACAGCGATTCTGTATAGGGTTTCCAAGGAGCAGCTGGTGGGTTGAACTGCCTGTCTTGTGGTTTACAGTTTAGTGCTGATCTTACAGTGCTATTATACCAGAAGTTGAAGGGAATACTGAATGGTTTAAAATCAGGAAAAGTGTGAGCCAGGGTTGCATCTTTTCACCGTATTTATTCAATCTGTATGCTGAGCAAATACTCTGATAAAATGGACGATATATAGAAAAACATTACATTAGGATTATAATAACTTATTAACAACCTGCAATATTTTTTGAAAGTGAAGAGGATTTTAAACACCGAAGAAGATCAAATACAACAGCCTTCAGTATGGACTACACCTTAACAAAAAGAAAATGAAAATCCTTACACTGGACCAATAAATAACTTCATGATAAATGGAAAAAAGATGGAAGTTGTTTAAGGATTTCATTTTACTTATATTCACAACCAACATCCATGAAAGCAGAAGTCAAGAAATCAAATGATCTACTGCATTTGAAATCAAATCTTCTAAGCATTAAAAAGCAAAGATGTCATGTTGAGGATTAATGTGCACCTGACCCATGCCATCGTATTTTTAACTGCCTCAAATGCATAGAAAGGATAATAAATAAGGAAGATTGGAGAATTACGTCTCTGAATTATGGTATTGGCAAAGAAAACTGGACATACTGTAAACTGTCAGAAGAATGAACAAATTTCTCTTGGAAGAAGTACTGACAGAGTATGCACTGGAAGTCCTGATGGCAAAACTACATCTCCGGTGCTTCAGACATCTTATCAGGAGGAACCAGTCCCTGGAGACGGGCATCATACTTGGTAAAGAAGGTTAGCCAAAAAAATAAATAAATAAGGAAGCCCCTCAATGAGATGAGATGAACTGACACAGTGGCTACAATAATGGGCTCAAACAGCAAAAATGTTAAGGATGCCTCAGGACCAGGCTCTGTTTACATAGAGTCACTATGAGTCAGAATGAACTTGGGACCTTACAATACAAGGGGCCTTCTAACGTTTGTGGAAAAATTTCATTTGGAGTTTTTTTTAAGCCCCTTGGTGTATATATATATATCTCATTTCTCTAGAGAATGTTTTAGAAGCAACAAGGTTTGTCACGTATCTGGTATGTCTGAACAAACTCTTTGGGTAAAAAAACGGAATTGTGATTCTGCAGGCATTGTTCTTTGGAGCTATATGCTCAAGTATTTAGAGGTGACGCATGTTAAGTGTAACTTACAAGAAACACATACACCCCTTAAATGCTCACTTCTAGAAGGGCATATAGTTATTGACTATAATACTCTTTCAATTTTTCTATAGATTCGAAGTTTTTCAAAGTATGAAACTTAAGGAATGATTGAAAGCTTAAGTGGTTCTAAAACATAGTCATTTAATTGTATCTTTTTACTTATCATTTATAAAATTCTAATCCTGACATATAATTTTTAAATTTTACAGTGATTCTGCAACTGCAGATCCCTCTCATTTATCTGTACCTCTTTTACCAAGCGATGATCCAGCAAACAAACAGCCAGTCGATGTTTCAGCAATAATGCTATACGAAGAAACAAACAATTATTAGTGCCTGTTTTGTCAATACATTCTAAAAATTACATGCAAATATGAAACAGGAAAATAAAAAACTAAACCTACTGCTGTAAAGTTGCCTCTGACTCATGGTGACCCTACAGGACAGGGTAGAACTGCTCCATGGGATTTGTAAGGCTGGTATGGAACTATGGGTTAATGTAATGAACTGCAAAGTTGATATGAACTGAAAGATCGGAGGTTCAAGCTCACCAACTGCTCCTTGGAAACCCTATACAGGGTTGCTATTGGTCGGAACTGACTCAACAGCACTTAACAACAACACTCTTACAAGAGCAGATTGTCACATCTTTCTTCTGTGGAGCGGCTGGTTGATTTCAAACTGCTGATCTTTCCGTTACAGCCAAGTGCTTAACCATAGTGCCAGCAAGGTACCTTTCACCCGGATAATCAAACCCATTGCCTCTGAGTAAATTCCGACTTGTAGCAACATTGTGTAAGACTTCCAAGGCTGTAAATCTTTAGATGAGGGAACAGATGAGAAAGATGAATGAATAGACAGCCTCATCTTTCTCCTGAGTGGCTGGTGGGCTTAAACTGCTGGCCTTGTAGTTAGCAGCCCAGCATTTACCCAACAGCACCACCAGGTCTCCTTAAACAAAATGTTGTTATTGCTAAGTTCCATCAAGTGGGATCCAATTCATAGCGACCTTATATGGGGTTTTTGAGGAGTAGCTGATGGGTTTGAACTTTGTGGTTAGCAGTCCAGTGCTAATCCTACAATGCCATACCAGGACTCCTTAAACAGAATGCTGTTGTTATTAAGTGCCGCCGAGTCAATTCCAGTTCACAGTCACCCTGCATATGGTTTCCAAGGAGCAGATTGTGGGTTTGAACTTCTGACTTTGTTATTAGCAGTTCAGTGCTGACCCTACAACACCACACCAGGATATATAGTATGTAGCAAAAGTAAAATTATTTATACAGAGAAAGGTATGATTACCGTTTTCCATAAGCCTTAATCATGGCTTCAGTCTCCTTCAGCACTTCTGACAGGGAAGAGTCACACTAGATTCTAATGCACTCACAAATAAGAATGTCCCCTAGGAGCTATCATGTCATCAAAACTAAGTGGCATAACTATATCAATTCATCTTGTTGAAGATTATCCTCTTTCTTGCTGCCCTTTCACTTTCCAAAGCATAATGTCCTTCTTGAGGGATTGGTATCTCATGATACCATTTTCAAAGTACCTGAGACAAAGTCTCACCATAATTCTAAGGAAAGTCTGGCTGCACTTCTTCCAATACAGATTTGTTTGTTCTTCTGGCAGTCCGTAGTATAATTCATTATTCATTGCCAGGGGCCAGCCTGGGCTTAGGCTGTGGCAGTCGCATGCTGCCCTCTACACATTTCTGGTATACCATACCTGGGCTCAGACTGTCTGCAAAGAAATCCACTACTCTCAGACCCGATCATGAGTGCCCTAGAGCAAACATACATATTTTATTGTTTATTTTCAGATTACTGGGATACTACCAAACTCCATCCATGACTTCTTGACCATGGCTCAGACCTTTATTGTACAAATATGAGCAAAGTAACACTTTCAAACTATTGAATGGAGATCAAGAAGCCTGAAATTCATTTCACAAAATATCATGAGACATGTGTGTATGCATCTGGGGTATGCTGTGCCGTGTCATTTTTACATAATTTCATCATTTCCACCATTTGTATGTGTGCATTATTTACATGGGCACACTATTTGCAAAATAAACATATAAAGTAGTTGATATACTTTTAATAAAAGGACTCTGGAGTACTGGTGCAGCACTGTGGGTTAATGCACTGGACGGCAAGGCCAGTTTAAACTACAAGGTCGAAAGTTGAAGCTCACCAGTCGCTCCCTGGAAACCCTATACAGGGTCGCTATGAGTCGGAACTCACTCAACAGCACTTAACAACAACATATTCAGTAAAAATTTAAAAAAGAACAAACTAAGTGGCATAATTTCACAGACAAATAGTTCTAAAAAGACCTTAAATGGCAAAGTCTTTTATGCAGAACTTTTGGTTTGGTCATTGAGTTTCTATATGGTATCATATGTACAGCCCACCACTGATCAGTCTGTGGTGACTTGTGTGTTACTGTGAGGCTGGAAGCTATGCCACCGGCATTTTCAACACCAGCAGGGTCACTCAGGGTGGGAAGGTTCCAGCTGAGCTTCCAAATGAAAGCAGAACAGTAAGAAGTAGACTACATGAGGTCACTATAGGTCACAGACGACTCGACTGCATATAACAACAAACAGATGTAGAGCAAGCATTCTGCTTTCAGTTCTCTAATAGAACCTCGCAATAATAAGTTTTAAAGTTTCAATATCCACAAAGGATATTCTGTACTTCAAAAACATCAACATGAGACTTTTATAACACTAAAATCAGTAATTCCTAACTAAATGAATATAATTAATTATAGTCTGGAGTCCTGGTGTGGCACTAGACTGTAACTGCAAGGTTGGAAGCCCAAACCCACCAGCTGCTCTTCGACATCCCTATTCAGGGTTAGTATGAGTCAAAACCGACTCCACAGCACTTAACAACAATTCTCTTCCCTACACAGATACTACCATACTTAATACGTTTTTAATTTTTTTCATTTTGAGGTACATAAAAGCTACTGGAGATAGTCCATTTGGTATCAGTTTCCAAGTCTAACTGCTGATTAGCTCATAGATTTTAGTATATAAACAAAAAGGCTTTTATAATGCCTTAATGGAGTCCTGTTGTGGCATTGTAGAATAGGACTGCTAAGTGCAAGGTCGGTGGTTCAATCTCACCAGCTGCTCCCTGGGAACCCTATACAGTGTCACTATAAGTTGGAACTGACTCGATGGCACTTAACAATAACAATAATGAATTAATTGTGTAATTTAATTGTTAATACTTGAATAAATTAAAGTATCCTTAGAAAAAAATTCAGAATAAAATACTGTAATTCATCACATTGTTTTAGGCTGGGATGCTGTGTAAAAAATGTCTTCTTAAAAATTCAAAACCACCAAAAACATCAACTATGAATCATTAAATAATTATTCAGAGCTCTTCAGCAGTGTCTAAGAAAAAGTATGTTATCTTACATTATTCCATTTCCATTGCCAAAGGCTTGGTCCTTTGATTCTTGCACAGGCTGGATATTAACATACAGATCCCTGATTTCCTTTCTGATGCACCTCACTGCTGCTGCTGCCATATCTTTTGCTACCTATTTTGGAAAGATAGAAAACAGAGTAAAATAAGTTAATAGCTGATATTTTGAGAATTGTTTTCAAAGCGGCATAAAGTAACATGTATAAACATTATTTAAATACTTGAATTTCAAGAACAGAAAGAACGTTGATTTTCAAGAACACTTTATGAAAAGATTATTAAAAATAAGTTCTTCCAATGGTTTAAACATATAGATGATATAATGCTTTTCAAGACATACATACACTTCCAAGAACATCTAGACAACTTACTTTAAATGGCAAAACACCAGCAACAAAAGATCTTCCATATATCTTCGTCACAGAGCCACGGTCAGTTAAATTTATTGGGTTCAACTGCTTAACTGGTGACATTCGAATAATCACTTCACCACCCCCTTTTGGGTAATAGCCCCTATGAAAAGTATAATAAATACTCACATAAACTGATTGCATAATAAAAAGAAAGTTCAATATTTACAAATGAGAAAAAACATACAAATGATGTCCAAACATACTTATTTACAACTGTGCTGTCCAATATGGTAGCCTCAAGCTACATGACTTTTTTTTTTAAGTTGAAGATTGGGTGAAAGTTTAGAGAGTAAATTAATTTTCCATTTAACAATTTACACACATTTTGTTCCTGCTTCCTCCCTGGGTTCCTAGTTTCCATTCATTCTTCTTTGCTGACTCTTTCTTAATGCCTCTGAGCTTTGTTTTGGGGCAAATGTTGCCCTTATGCTTATGGTCTCCTATGGTTGATCGTTATGAGGTTTCTGTTCCTCAGGCGTGTTACTGTTCATTTTATAAACTATTTGGAGTCAAGATGATGCTCAAGGGTGAACTCAGTTCCAGATCTGAAGGGTGTCTAAATGTCACACACTCGGGGGTTCCACAGCTCTATAACAGACCAGTAAGTCTAGTCTCTTTTGAATTATGTTCCACAGTTCTCTTCCATTCTGTTTGGCACCTTCTGGGGTCAGTAGTGGTAGCTAGGCACCACTGAGTTCTTGGGTCCCGGGGTCACTGGAAACTTATTCTCGCATGGTCCATGAATCCTTTGGACTACTTGTTTCCTTGAGTCTTTGATTTTCTTCAGTGATTTTTCTTCCAGATGGGGGAAGATCAATAGTTGCATCTTAGTTGGCACTGCATATGACTATTTGGTATCCTGGAATGGCATTGTATTATAAGCATTCAACCACAAGATCACTTTAAAATGCAAAGGTGGCTGTTCAAAACCACCAGTTGCACCTCAGAAACCCTACACAGAGTCACTATGAGTTAGAACCAACTCGATGGCACTTAGCAACATATGACTATTTAAATTAAATAAAATTAAAAGGTCACAATTTTTCACTGCACAAGTCACATTTCATGAGTTCAACAGCCAGATGTGCCTAGTGATTGCAGTATCAGAAAGCACACATATAGAACATATTTTCAACTCAATATTGCTATTTTGTAATATATATTCCATGAATACAGGACTGTTGTATAGTTTGTTCCCTGCTACATTCTCAGAGCCTAAGATAATGTCTGGCACAAAGTAGCTGTTCAATAAACACTTAAGTTACAGAACACAAATACTTAAGTTACAGAACACAAATAAAACTTTAATTGGAATATTTAGTGGCATTTATTCTGGTGTGGTGCTGCAGGATAATGCGCTGTGCTGCAAGGTCAGTACTCAAACCCACCAGCTGCTCCTCAGAAACCCTATAGAGGATCACTAAAGGTCAGAACTGACTTGACGGCACTTAACAACAACAACAAAGAAGATGTTGGGAACAGAAGACGCATCTTAACTCCCATTAGCTCACCATCTAGTATGGAGATGGCTCCCCATATAGTCTCCTAGAATACAAGTCAGGATGTGTGAGGGGCTACAAAAATGGTACAAATATGAATTTCAATGAAGCATCCTCATGTTCAGTTCACATAAGAAATTAAGAGCTTCATTTTGAAGAAAACATAGTAAATTCATAATTTTTAGGGTCACAGGAAAAAATAACATAAACAAAGACCTGAAAGTCTAAGGCATCAAGTATTTTTAAGGAATAGTAAGCAATCATATTATTAGACCATATGGTATGTTGAAAGGAGGGGAGTGAGAATAAAGCCATAAACATTAGCTGGAGCAAGATTGCAAAAGAATTCAATGCCATGCCCAGAAGTCTGGCCTTGTTATGTAACAAACGGGAAGGCTTAAAGAGAACTAATCTGAATGTCTGATGTGTTTCTTGGAGAGATAATTCTGACAGCACTGGAGAAAAACAGAAAAAAGGCAGCCTTCTGCCCTTTTATGACCCCATAGGGCCTAGTACAGTTAAACTGCACACACTGAGTATTCATCTGCACTTGGACACAATTACACCAGATAAAACTGAGCCTCAGCTTGGAAATTCTCTTGAATAATATTTCTCTCAAAAAACAAATGAGCAACATGCCTAGTTACTTTCAAATCCCCATGTCCCTGCTGCTTATTGTTTTTAAACTAGCAAGTGTAATTATTTCCAACTAGAAATGTAATATGCAAAGTGAGTTCCAGAATGACAATCCTCTAAGGTCTAACTTGCACATTACTTTCAATACGAGTAATGGGTCAAAGGGCTAAGAAATAAGCAACTTACCTCATTTTAATGTCACAGTTAAATTTGAAACCAAACTTTTCAACAATTGGCTTGAAAACCTGAAAAATCAGTTTACAGTTCTTTTAACCACTAATGTTCAACAACAAGTTTAATAAAAACAATATATATCTCACTGCATATACATGTTTTACTCTTTTCTCATTAATATTATAAACATAAGTATTTTCCCAACATCATAAAATTATTCCTAAACAATATTTGAATTGCTATATGACATTCTATCGTAATTTACTTCAACACTGCCCAAGTTTTTATTTGAAACCAAACTTTTCAACAATTGGCTTGAAAAACCTGAGGTTTTGCTCAAATACTTTTGCCATTTAATTTTGGGTGCATTTTTAAATAGTGGAATTACTAGGCAAAGAGATAAACTTTAAGTCTCATTATATATTCTGTATGGAGTTCTGGTGTAATGCTGTAGGATAAGCTCAGGTTAGCTGTTCAAACACACCAGCCACTCTCTGGAAACTATATATATGGTTGCTATGACTTGGAACTAACTTGACAGCATTTAACAACAACAACAATATATTCTATCTAACTTTAATGATATTTTACCCATCTGTTAGAATGATAAAAAAAAAAAAAAAGCATAAAAAAAAATCTGAGACCATCAAGTGCTAGGAGGCTGCTGATCACCTGAACTCTCATACACTGCTGGTGAAAATGCAAAATGATACAGCCACTTTGGAAAGCAGTTTAGCAGTTCCTCATAACGTCAGACGTACACTCACTATAACAACCTAATAGTATATGTGTCTACCACTCCAAGGTATTTATCCAAGAGAAACAAATATTTATTTTCTCACAAAAACCTGCAAATAAATGTTACAGTGACTTTATTCATTAAAGACTTATAAATTCTCTTTATAGTCATGATTTACTAGTGCATTCTCCTGTTCAAAATTGAAAAAAGTTATACAAATTGTCTAAAAATTACTTAAAGCAGAATCAGAATTTGAAGCTACAAAAGGGAAAAGAGAAACCATATAGACCAACTCTATGTGTTTATAACTGGCCCAAACTGAAAACAATCTAAATGTTCTTCAACAGATGAATTACAAGTACACTGGTACATATATGCAACAGAACATTACTTAGCAATAAAAAGGAATGAATGAACTTTTGATGCATGCATTGCGGATGGATCTGAACTGTATTAAAGTAACTCAAAGAAATCAGACTCAAGGCTGCATACTGTATTAGTCCATTTTCATAATATTCTGGGAAGAAAAGACAAAACTATGACAGAAAACAGATCAGTGTTGTCAGTGGCTGGGGGCAGGATTGACTGTAAAGGAGCATGAGAATTTTTTTTGAGTAATACAACTGTTCTATGGTGATTGTGGTAGTGGTTTCAGACTGCTTGTTAAAACTGATAAAACTGTGTGTGAAAAAGGACAAACCTTACTGCAAATGATTACACCTCAACAAAACTGGGAAAAAAAGGGTTATGGCACTTTTTTCTTCCATATTTGTATGAGTATACAACTACTGAGTTTATCACTTTTCCAATTTATAGGGAAAACATGGGATCTAACTCGTTTCAGGGTTTTCCCCTATAAATCATAATTCTGATTTATATTATAACTACAATTAGTATTTTTAACATTGTTCTAAGATAAAACACAAAACCTACAGTAATCTCCATCCTTTACTACAGCAGAACTAGACACTGCAAAGAAATAAAACAGGTATGTACAAAAAAATTGACAGAACACATTTAAGTAGAGAACAGAGATGCAGAAGAATATATGAGATCATTTTAGTTGGTCAACAACAAAAAAAGTCATTACCATCAATGTGTAATCAATCTGTGGTGCCATTTCAGCATTAGTTCCACCTTTCAGACGAAGTTCTGATGGAGAAGCAGCAAAGAGAACACAGGGCATTGAGACCTGCATCAAGAGGCATACACTCCTAAGGAGAAGGCAAAACAGGTTTAGTGCATTTTCTTTTTGAAGTCTGACCTCAGGTTAATAAAGAAAGCTGTTACTATGTGTTACCAATAGTTGAAGCATAGAAAACTGAGAAAGCAGGCTCATGCCTTTAAGTTTAGAGACACATTAGTATCTGAATAATAAGATCCTCAATCTTCTAGAAACGCATTATTGCACAGCATAAAGAACCAACTTTAAAGGATAAGCAAACCTGGATTTGAATCAAAACCTAAACATTTCTTAGCTGTATGACATTGGATAGGTTCTGACACTTTTCATCATAATACCCAGATGTAAAAAATTAACTTATTAATAAAAATCACACCTTTACCATAAAGTAGCAGTTTATGAAATATATTCAGAACAGTCAAGGTCAAGAATATTCAGTTGATTATACCAGAGTCACTCTCATACACAAGGCCCTGTTCTAGTTATCACGTTAAATAAGATATAGTTCCTATCATCATGGCGTGTATAATAAATAAAAGCCAGTATTTTACGAAAGACTTCATAAGAATTGATTCCTGAGCATTTCACATGAAAAAAAAAAAGGCTTTCTTTACAAGCCTGTTTGGGCCTTACAATCAAATAATGTGAAACTTTATGAAAAAAAGTTAATAATATGAAGTATATTTCAAAATTAGATTGCCTGGTCAGATTTTCTTAATATACCTACTCCTTACTTACGATCTCACTACCTAACATTTTGTATTTACAACCATCAAAAGCCTACTATCTGACTATTCTGTGCATTAATGAGGCAGCAGACATGGCAGTAAAGGCTGCAAGGAGTACCCCTTCCTCAAGGAGGGTTCAGGGCAGCCTCTGGGAAGCTGAGCTACACTGTGCTGCATCCTCTGCTCCTTCCTGATGGTGGATGCATCTCTTCTAACTGCAGACTACAGTTTCTTCTGTGGCCACAGCCTCCACCAACAGAGACACCCATGCAGAACAAAGGTATCTATTCTGGGTTCCCAGCTCCACTGTGGACTAAGGTCCTATAGCTCAACATTGCTGTAAGATGGGAACGGAGGAAAGAAAGAGGCATCAGAAAGCGTGTTTGGAAAAAATGAGTGTAAGTTTAATGACATCCCAAAAAGAGCCAAAATGGGCCTGGAGTCTCCACCTTATTGGAGCCAGGTGCATAGTCAGGCTCCTAGTGTCCTTGCAAGAAGCCTCTCTGACTTGCCAGGCCTGGAGGAAGGAGAAGGCTCCTCCAGGATGGTGAAGACAGAGCTAGCAGGGGTGGGAGTGGAGCCCTGGATAACTCAGCCCCAGCACAGGAGGAAGATAAAGTGATCTCCATTCACATAACCTGGCTTTATCCAGCTTTATCACATTTCTAACACCGATTTTCCCATAATGACCTAGTCTTTGGAACCTAACCATGTTGCTAGGTAAGGAGTAGGTATATGTCATTATATTCCTTTCTCCGAAGTCAAGGCAAAGCAATCATATTAATATACAGATTGCAGTTTGGAAGGGAGGTTAACATAAGCCCTACATAATGAAAGACATACCTTTATGTAAACTTTCCTATGACAATGATACAAAGCACTGAATTGTAAAGTCTCTATGACTGACAAAGAACTTCATTAATTCAGTAAGTACTTCTTGGCTGGGCAATGTGTAAAAGAAAATTGTATGGCATGTAATCCCTGCTCTCAAGAAGTTCAATATAGAAGCAAATGAAAGAAACTTGGAAACTATTTTAGTTTCCTGAGTAGAGTTCGATTATCAGCCTTAACCCCAGACACTGTAGTGGATTCAAGAGCGAGGAGGCCTGGCTAATTCTAATTTTGACTCTATGACTGGATAAATCACTAACTCCATGGATTCTTGATTTCCTTGTTACCAAGTGGAAGCAGGGTTGGAATATATGGTTTCTATTTCCCGTTTGTAACTTCATATTCTATGATTTGACTTGGATTAATTTTTAAACAGTTTGTATAACTTTTTTCCATTTTTGAACAGAAGCATGCTCTAAAAAATAAAGCCTGACTATAAACATACTTCAAAAGTCTTTAGTTTCTCAATTATAAATTTTATATGGAAAGGAAAGAGACCTAGGATAAGCAAAGCATTGCTTAAGAAGTAGAATAAGGTTGGAAATCTCTCACTGCCCGACTTCAAAACTTATTACATGGCTACAGTGGTCAAAATTGCTTGGTACTGGTACAATGAAAGATACATTGATCAACGGAACAGAACCTAGAATCCAGAAATTAACACATCCACATACAGCCAACAGATTTTTTACAAATTACCTAAATATATCACATGGGGAGGTGGTAGTCTCTTCAACAGATGGTGCTGGCAGAACTGGAAAGTGATATGCAAAACACTGAAACAAGACCTTCACCTCACGCCTTATACAAAAACCAACTCAGCACGGATTAAAGACCTAAATGTGAATCCCAGAATTATGAAGGCCATCAATGAAAAAATAGGGACAAATGTGAGGGCACTAATTCAGGGAATACACAAACTACCAAACATTTTGAAAACTACACAAACAAAAGTAGACAAAATAGACGAGTGGGACATACTAAAAATTTAAAACTTATGTGCATCAAAAGACTTCACCAGAAGAGTAAAAAGGGACCCCACAGAATGGGAAAAAATCTTTTGCAATGACAAATCAGGTAAGGGACTCATTTCTAAAATATATAGGAAACTACAACACCTCTACAAGAAATAGATATATAACCCAACTAAAAAATGGACACAGAACATGAACAGACACTTCAACAAAGAGATCCAGGCAGCCAACAAACATATGAAGAAATGTTCACGATCACTAGCCATTGTTGTTGTTGTTGTTGTTGTTGTTAAGTACCATGGAGTTAGTTCTGACTCATAGTGACCCTGCATAGGGTTTCCGAGGCTGTAAATCTTTATGGGAGCAGAAAGCCTCATCTTTCTCCTGTGGAACAGCTGGTAGTTTCAAACCGCCGATGGTGAGGTTAGCAGCCCAGTTCGTAACCACTACACTACCAGAGCTCCTTAAAGATCAAAAAAGTAGGGGACAATAAATGCTGGTGAAGATGTGGAGAGACTGGGATGCTCCTGCATTGCTGGTGGGATTACAAAATAGTCCAACCTATCTGAAAAGCAATATGGTACTTCCTCAGAAGGTTGGAGATAGAAATACCTTATGATGCAGCAATCCCTCTACTTGGTATTTACCCACAAGAAATACAAGCCATAACACGAGTAGATATATGCATACCGATGTTCACAGCAGCACTATTTACAATAACAACAAGATGGAGACAGCCTAAGTGCTCATCAACTGAAGAATGGATAAACAAACTGTGGCACATACACACAATGGAATATTATGCTACCTTGAAAAATAACAAGGAAGCTGCAAGCCACCGCATAACATGGATGAACCTTGAGGACATTATGTTGAGTGAAATTAGTCAGTCACAAACGGAGAAATACTGCATAGGAACACTACTGTAAAAGACTAAGAAAAAGAACCCATATTAAATGTGGGCAAAATTCTTTGCTGGTTACCAGGAGGTGAGGCAGGTGGGAGGAGTGGAGCACAGGGCAGGGAATAGACATATGATAGTTTGGATGCTAGGAAAGAGAGCAATACACAAGAAGAGGGAGGGGAATGGAAGAACAAAGTGAACAGGAAAATAATTCGGCAGGTTTGCATGGACTAAGTGGGAGAGAGGTAAATAATGATGTATGCACTACCCTGGAACAACAGGGCTCTGGGATACAGGGATTAAAACAAGGTTGGAATGGGCAAAAGGGGGAAATAATGTTAAGATGCTTGGCTGTCTTTTGAACTTTGGTTTCCCTGGCATTCCATTATAAAATAGACACTTGAGGGGGAGAGAAAGGAATAGCCAGAAATATCACCACAGAAAGCTTGTAAATCTGTCTTCTGCCTATAACTGATTGGAATACCTAAAATGGGGCTACAATGTACCTAGTGAAGGAGACTTCCTGTGGAGCCTCTGCATTACA